TGATTCAACAAAGCGGTTTATAATCTTTAATGAGTTGCTCCTCTCCTAATCTGGAACATTTTAAACCTTGATGCTCCAGACTGTCTTTGCAACAACGAGGCACATCTTACGGAAGTGGGCATTAACTTCTACACCTTTCTTTACTGTTTAATGTCAATAACACTTTATTTTACAAAGAAAGTGCATCCTATTCTGATTCAGAGGCAGATTGTGTTAGCCAAACAGTGTTTGTCTCACACTTATCTCGACGTAGCTACACAATGAACTGTGAACAAGATGTGTTGCACCTATTTATTTGATTATGCATGATTTTTCCTTTCTTTTCTCTCAAAAGGTTCGTCAAAGAACTACTGAACAAAAAGGTAGGATCCTGTGAAAGAGTCGTAAAGAAACCGGTCAGCGCTGTTGTCTAACTTTACTGTTTTTGTGCTCGGGTTGGTTGGTGGTCCTAACAGTACCCCCTGGTGAAGCCAGTGATCACTCCACGTTTTGCACCATCCTGCACAGAGGCCTTGCTTGCCAAGCTGGGAGAAATGGCTAAGAATAACAAGCTGCATATTCAAGTGAGTTAACAGTGGCAACCTGATCACAGATGCTTTCTACTGCAGAACATAAAGGGATTGTTTATTTATTTATTTATTTATTTATTTATTTATTTATTTATTTATTTATTTATTTCAGAGTCACATCAGTGAAAATCTTGAGGAGGTGGAGTGGGTGAAGGAGCTGTTCCCCAATTCGGAGTCTTACACAGACATCTATCACAAATGCAACCTTCTCACAGACAAGGTAAGAGCCCAGTCCCGTTTACGTTTTACTAAACTTTTGGTAAAACGTGAATGCTTGCATAAAATCAGACAAACTGTTCCTGATGCCTTCGCAGACTATTATGGCCCATGGCTGCCACCTCAGTGATGAAGAGTTGGTTCTGTTCAGGGAAACAGGAGCTGCTTTGTCCCACTGTCCCAATTCAAACATCTCGTAAGTTTTTACTCAGAACCGAGATAAGGTCAGACATTTGTACAGATTTTATCTTAAAATTAGGACAGTAAGACATGCAATATTATTGTTTAATCATTGAAGCTGAATAAACTGATTCCAAAATAGACAGATGGTGGTAAAAAAAAAAAAAAAAGGCCAACGAGACGGTCCACACAAAAAAGAAGTTATTATTACAGTTGGTGATCTCTCTGTTTAACCAGCTTGTGCAGCGGAGTGCTAAACGTGCGCAACGTCCTGAATCACAAGGTGAAGCTGGGGCTGGGTACAGGTGAGTGAAAATGCTCGACAACAATATAAAGTCTGAGCAGGTATTGCAGGTCAACTCAGTGTCAAAAGAGGGAACGTTTTAGAGTTTCTTTGATGCCAATCAAAAGTTAAATGAAGTTGCCTTGTCCAAGATACATATCAGTGGTTGCCTTGCAACCTCCTCTGTTTGTCCTCCATCAGACGTGGCAGGAGGCTATTCACCTTCCATCCTCGATGCTGTGCGAAGAGCCCTGGACTCGTCCAAAGTCCTCACCATCCAGGACCCAGAATACAAAACACTCAGCTTTGAGGAGGTCTTCAGACTGGCCACACTGGGAGGGAGTCAAGGTGAGATCCAAACACAAAAAGCTATTTGGCAACAGTTGTATCTATAGATATATAGACTCTCTACATTGACTTGTATGGTGACAATCAAACTGTTGTTTTTTCTGTTCGCAGCGTTGTCCCTGGATGAGCGAACAGGAAACTTTCAGGTGGGAAAGGACTTTGATGCCTTGAGAGTTAACGTGGCTGCTCCAGGTGGACCCATCGACCTAATCCAAAACGAGAAACCACAGGTAATGTGGGAGATGTCCGCGTATGTTGACACATAAAGTGCTCAAAAGCAAAAACTCCATCTAAAGTATAACAACAATCTGTAATCGTTGGCTTTCAGATTCTTTTGGAGAAGTTCTTGAATTTGGGTGAGCTTCCACTTCTTTATGTATCTTGTCATTTCTCTTTGTTTCAGTCTCAGTTCTCATATGCGTCTCTCTTCCTTAACATGCCCTTTGGCAGGTGATGATCGAAACATTGTGGAGGTGTTTGTAGCTGGGAAGAAGGTGGTGCCTTTCAGTGAGCCATGAACAAACAGGACTTCTTCCTTCCTCACATCGGTGTGAAAGAAACAAACACACACTGTGGCTGCTTCAGCTATGTTTGTGCACAAAAGTAGATTAATGAGAGTAAAGGGATATTTTTTAATAAGTATATTTTAGGACAGAGTATGTGATTTGCTTCATCTTTCTTTAGCCTGTATGCTGGACTTTTGATTGGGAAGCAAGGGATATATTAAACAGCAGGAAGTTTGTGCAGATAACTGGCTAATAATTATCCAGTGTGTTTTCTATGTTTGGCACTTTTGCACCTTCGCCATGCAGCAAATAACTCTCACCAGAAAAAAAAAAAAAAAATCGACCTTATTGCCTTACAGCTTAATTTATTTTGCCATACCATATTAGAGGAAGTGATAACATAGGACTTGGTGCTTTTTATGGTGCAAGAACTGCGGCAGTTTGTTGATGCCATTTTCATGGACTTCCTGTAGAAAACGTTTTTGTGTGTCGAAGGCTAAATTGTGCTCTAATGGACACTCCAGCTAATTCAATCATTCAAGGATTTAAAGCTGCAAAGGTGAAGGGATTGTGTTTTTAATGTGTCCTTGATACTTCTCTTCTGATTTTGTTGTGTTACAGTGAAAATAGAAATGTTTTCAAGCACTCTTTTCTAAGATGTTCAAGAATTCAAATCGTCCTCGTGGCCTTATCACATAACTGTTTGTGACAAAAATGTTAAAAAAATGTTTGGTGTGAAGATGTTTGATTCAAGGGAATGTACTGATAAAGGATTCTTTTCTTTTGTTTTGTATTTTGTAATATTTTTACACGCACTTTTTTAATCATTAGGGAATTAGACTATGTGCACTTTTCTTTTCAACAGTATTTAAGTCAAGTTGGCTTTTTATTGAAGAAGTTGCTAATTTAATTTTCATGCAAGACACAGTCTGAATCATTTTACAGGAGAAGGTCACAATTTTTGATCTGTTACACAGGATAAAATATAAATAAAGGAAGTCACAGAGGCTGTTTTGGTTGTATTTTTATGTTGACTGGCTGTTGTGGTCTATTACAATCAGAACAGAAGCTTTGCTGTGTGTCTGCGCTGTCTGATACACATGGAGAGGTCTCTGTTGTGAATGAACCTGTGGACTGAACCTATCGTTGGTTTTACTAATAATTCAAATCTAATCCACAATGTATTCAATAATAATAATAATAATGCAAAAAAAAAGAAAAAAAAAACGAAGGGAAAGATGTAATACAAGCCCAGCTACTAGAGGACAACAAATGTTGTCCGGTTCAATACTGCCCCACGCTGGTTTAAACCTGTAGTTCAGATTGTTTGAATTGGTGTCCTGTGAGATAGATAGTAGTAGTCATTACCTTACTTGCAGAAGACAGATGTTTTATCAAAGGAAAAAAAAAAAACCAGGAAATTTATCTTATTAGAGGAAGGTTAGCTTCACTAAACTAAGTAATTTTCAGTCACGGTCAAACTTAGAAATGTCATGCTGGTGTGAGCCAGTGCTTTGGGAGTTAATAGTAATCTTCTTTCCCACTTGAATAGTATGATAATATTTGGAGCTGGTTGCTCTTAAACTTCAACATTTCCCTTTGTAACTTCAAATGGATAGATTGGACTTCCTCATTATTTTTTTCTGAGAAAATAAGAGAATTTATTACAAGAAGTTCATTTTCCTGGACTTAGTGGGGACAGCTAATCCATGAGAGAATAATGCATTTGAAAAAAAAAACTATAAATATCTAGTTAGACTGAATTAAATATTTGCCTAAATGAGCAATAAATCATTCTGGCGTCTAGTTAAAGGTGTGTCCCTCCACGTCGATATATAATTGTTCCCATGTGAATAGCCTATTGTGCCGCTTGTTCCTGTCTTCTAAATAAAATTGGCCTATGTTTCTATTTATATTGTGATACAAAAAAAATCATACAAAAGCGGATGAATGGCTTTTGTGACTTATGTCTAAAAATAAAGCAGTCTGATTTTTGCTTATTTGTTGCAGATTCTCATTTCTCAGTTTCTCTTTTCAATCAGTTTTTTTCATCATCTCAATGACTTAATGACATTTACACATAGCTGATCATGAGACAGCTATGTGTACTGATGCAAGTCAGTCAGGAACTGAGACCTAGTTTTATCTGCTTTCAGGAGCTGTGCTTTGCAAAGGTAAGCAGTTACAGTCGAATGCCGCTCATAAAAATATATTATTAATACTTATTTAGTCGTTTATGTCTTCAAGAAAGAGCAGTCTTGTTTGCACAATACTTTTATGTTGTCAATGAGGAACAGAAAATTTTAGGAAGTCTTTTTCAGGAAGTGTGACTTGTTTAATTATATGGGTAGGGTTGAGATCTAGTCGCCAAAGGTTTTTCTAGGCCACTAGAAAAATAACTTTCAAATCCATGGGTCCTATTCCTTGCCCTGCCTGAAAGATATGATTAATGATGTGAAATCAGTTAGCAACCACCAAGTCAAACAAACATCCTGTGGATGGATAACATTTTTATTCCACAATGCACTGAACAGCAGAACTAATATTTTCACACGTGAGTTGTTCTAATTGTGTGTGGTCATTTCCAGCAACTACAATGTTTTCCTTTAGATACATGATATTAAGATAAATCTTTATTTATAGATTTCTGTGTTTTTCTCTTTTTTTATTATTTCACTTAGTAAAAGAGGTACAAGAAGTAAACGCCTGCTTTATGTATATTTAATGGTCGCAGTTCTCGAGTAGCAGTGATGTTTTTCCTCTGTTGTTTGTGCTTTCTCTCTTGTTTACGATGTTTAAATCGATGTTATTCACAATTTAGACGGCGAAGTGCCAACTTGTCATAAATTTAATGACTTATTTTGAATGTCGTTGGAAATACCTGCGACCTTTGAACGTATCAGATACCACAGTGTGGACTTTAAACCCTGCGTAATGTCTTACAGGCTTGAATTAGGTTACTGTGAGTCACAGACTGATCCTCGGCGAAAGTTTTAACAGATTTAATGTTTATGTGGAATGTAGAGCTAACACCATAAATAGTGTTTGAGAGACTGCAGTGTTTTATTTGCATCCAGCTGGAGGGAGAGATCCCGCGAGACTAAACTCAGGTAAATGTTGCTCAAATGCCATACCGGTAATCAGGAAGTGACTTTAAAAATGCTTGTATGATCTCCGTTCTCTCCTCCATTCTTCACTTTTCCAGATTTCAAGCACTGTTAGATCTGGAAGGTATGTGTCCTTTGACTTTGACACATCTTTTGACCTTTTTCTCTCCGCCCCTCATTACCCGGGCTAAAACATTATTAAAGGCGATCATTGATTATTAATGTTTATGTTTGTATTTAGTTATGGTTTTGATAACCTTATTTGCTTTTTTTGTTTCTTTAGTGTTTAAGGCAGAATAATACTTTTGCATATTTTAGTTTCAGTTCCATTTTATCCATGCTGTGATTTTTACATGAATTATTTTTTGACGCACTGAAAATACTAACTCATATTAGTAAATAAAGTATGATTTTATGCATAAGGATTTCACAAAAGTTTTTAAAAATCGCTCCGAAGATGGAAACCGCTCAGATTTGTGTGCATTTGGGTAAGTGACGTCCCAAGAGGCAAAATAATCAAAATGATCAGTTGCTGATTGGAAATTATGGATGGATAACGTGAAGTGATTACTGAAGATCTGTTACTTAAATGTATCAGTTTCAGCCTGCCTCTTCACAAAGCATTTTCTTGTTAATTGTTGCGTTTTGTGGAATAAATGAATTTATTCCATATGGGTGTTATTTTTTTTCACCCATAACGAATATTGTAAACGCATTTAAAGGATGACTTTGACTAAAATTCAAATCGAATTCAAAAATAACTTTTCAATTCCAAAGGGAAATCAAAAGTTTTTTTTTTACTCATTAATTCAAATTCTTCAAAAAGTTATTCTATTCTAGATAGCGATGGGAAAGATCTCTTGTAGCAGTCTGTATTACAGTGAATTTGAAGAAGCCTCTGACTGAAGGCACTCTATTTTCCCAAGTCAGTCTCATGAAGAGGATGGATACAACAGTTGTCCATCATTTCCTTGATTTTATGAAGAATACTTCTTTGCGTCATTATCTCCAGAGGTTTGAAACATGCAAACATAAGACGAAATGGGTAAAATGGAAATCAGTATGCTCAAAAGAACTCTGATCAGTTGTCTCATGTGATGTCAGATGTGAGTGGAAATGTAGCTTTTTATCTTGATTGAATAACTACTTACTGGAAAACAACAAATCAAATAGAAAAACTGTGTATGACATTTTATTTCGTAGGTGGCCAAATGTTTTTAAAAAGAAACGGATTGATTTAGATAGAAGTCCAACTGGTGGCTTTAAAACTAGTTAGTTACAATAATGAAGCAATTTGTATGAAAAAAACATCTGTTTAGAAAAACTAAACACTATTCCGTGTTTATCATGTTTTCTCATGCTAAAAAACTTTGTTCATGTGCAGAAGCATTCAGCGTCCCCTGCAGCTCGGACGCTAGCTGAAAGCCCATCATGCCTCTGTTTCGGGCTTTGGATGAACAGGCAGAGGCAAAGGCTCGGCCCAGGCGGAGGGGTCTGAGGAACACCAAGGGCACTAAAAGCTGCTGGAGGACGCGGGACGATGATCCGGTCCTTTCTCTGACGCGCCTCTGCCTGTTGAGCCTCGCTGACAACATGAAGGACCTGTGGGTGAAAGACTATGCTGACAACTATCTTGATCATTATTCATTCAGATACATCATGGGGCCTTTCAACCTGCTGCGTGAGTTTGTGTGTGTGTGTGTCAGTGTTAATTGGTTACAGACCAAATAATACAAAATAAAAATGTGTAATGCTTCTGTTGTCCTAGCACAGCATACCACAGTAAGGTGGAATGCTATGCAGTCAATCACCTTATCACCAATATCCATTTTTCAAAGCAAAGCAGAATCACAAACTGAAAAATGTGCAAGAAAAACATTATTATTTGCCTTATCACAATTGCTTTAATAAGCTTAACAATCTTATATGTAAGCTAGTTTATGCTAGTAGCTTTTTTCTTGACTTATCAACAAACGCATATCTCATATCACTGGGATGTTCTCTTTTCTTTCCTACTGCAAACAAATGGTCAGAGAAATGGCACCAAAGAAGTACTGTAGATATTTTCTATGTCTCTGATTGAAAGTAATTTACTATAACAGCATGGACCTATTATGTCTGTAATCACAGCTGGTGAACTGGTGGAGGAGTTGACGTGGCTGCTGTCCAGTAGAAAGCAGCTGTCTCGGGCAGCGCTCCACCTCCTGCTGGTCCCCCACCTCCAGGGTCTGTCTCTAGAGAGGTGTCCTGGCTTGGTGAACCCGGCATTGTGCGCTCACATTGCTGCCCGTTGCCAGGTAAGATCCGATAATTTTATTTTATCCAAATGCTATCTGCTTCTTTTTACATAACATACTAATCTTTACACCTAAAAATGGGGACTTGGTTTATTTCAATGATAAACATCAAGTGTATTTTCCATATTTGTAAGCTGATATGTTGTTTGAAAAGGTAGTTAAGTTTTAATTAGGTTTAAATTTAAGGTAATTAAGCTTCACTAAGGAAGATATGACATAGAACAACACAGGAGATCCTGCCATCAGCATCTATAATGACTTTCTGATCAAACTCTAATTGTCAGATTCTTCGGCGTTCCCTTTGTCTGGATTAATTTGAAAAGGAAACGGGATTGCATTAGATATTCCTTTAAAAGAAATGAGTTTTGCTTTTCTCTCAGGGTCTGCGGAGCCTGGACCTATCTGGAGCACAGCAGCTCCCTCCAAAGGCCCTCTGTGAGACCATGTCCAGTCTACCTGCTCTGCGGTCGCTGTCCTTAGCCGGCATGCCTTGTGACAGGAGTGTGATCCAAATGGTTGCCCGCCACTGCCGTTTGCTGCAGCACCTCGACGTATCCCGCTGTCACCTCCTCTCCCCGGCTGCTCTGCTTGCTCTCGGCGGTGTGGTTTCGAGTTCGTCCTCGGCCTCCTCTTCTTCAACCTCGTCTCCTCTCCCGCTCAGCAGCCTGTTGGCTCTGGATATTGGGTTTGGGGAACAGGAAGGAGACTCTACCGTGGCAGCAGCCTATCTCCTTCTCTCTCTGCCTTGCTTGAAAAGACTGGCCTTGGAGGGCCTCGGACCGGCCTGCCGTCTCATCGAGCAGAGGGAGTTCAGCCAGGCAGATGAATTTGCTGACAGGGAAGGTGTTTCCAGCCTGCACCTGGTGTGGAGGGAAAGGATGCTTGGGCAGAGCTCGGAACGTTGGATGACGATGAGAGGGGAAGAATCTACTGATAATCGAGAGGTGGAGAGCCCATTATTGGAGGAGGATGGGTGTGACGCTGAAGAAGATTTAATCAAAAACTTGTGGCCTTTTTGCTTACAAATCCAAACAGAGGATAGGATGAAGAATTTGTCCCAGTCAGGCCTGATCCTGCAGCTCAAAGACGTTAAAGGCGTAACCTGTGAGTCTCTGGGGAGTTTAGGAAATTTGTGTCCGGGTTTAAACTCTTTATCCATGAACATAGGCAAACAGGGGCCCCTATTAACCGCTGATCTCCAGACGTGGTCAGGCCAGCTGCGGAGTCTTTCATTTATCTACTCCGGCCCAGTGGCAGATCTTCTTCCTGCCTTGCAAGTCGCAGGTTGCTCACTGATCTCTCTGACGTTGGAGGGGGTGAAAACCAGAGCCGACACCCCACTACTGGAGCTCATCAGAGTCTGTCCCAGACTCAGAGACCTCCTTGTCTCTGCCGAGCCTCCTGCTACACCACAGTACGAAACCATTGACAATCAGCTGGATGATCAAGATCTCCCAAAGCTGCCGAATCTCCGCTCTCTCAAGATCAGGTAACTTCCAACATTGAATCCCTCCTCTCAATTTGTGCCTGTTTCTAACCACACCAAACACAGTCATGACAAAGCTCCAATACACCTTACAGCCAGACACAGAAACTATGTGTTGATGACATAATGGAAAACACACAAAGAAAGAAATATCTTAGCTATATATATTTTTGTTTTCTTGGAGTGGTCACCAAGTGTATTGCTGTTCTCAAACGTTGTTCAAGCAAAACAAACCAAAAAACAACAACAAAAAAAGCATTTAGATAGGCTTTCAACAAATTGTCTTTGTGATTTGGGTCTGGAGTGTGACTGGGCCATTTTAACTGTGCTTTCATCTAAAAATTACACTTTCGTTCTGACTGGATGTTTAAGGCCAGTGTCCTGATGGAAGGCGAACCTTTTTTTTGTGGCTTCTAGTTTATCTTTTAAGAGTACCTCATGTATCTTTGCAATACAGTAGCTAGCAGGACTTCTTGTGGCAATCGTACAAGAATGACAAAAGCACCCATGAGGAAATGTTGATGAAGTCATTGCAGTACTTTGGTTCAGATATTTTGATTGTACGTAGCAGTACAATTTCAGCCTCATACTAACGGATTGAAAAATTGATTAGAACTACCAAGGCAATCAATAATACTAATTATTTTCTTCTGCTGCTCTTGTCTCTCAAATCTCTGAAGTTTCTCCTATGAGCACAACCAAATGAAGCCCCTGATGTCCTGGATGTCCCTAAAGGAAGTGATCAGGTGTCTCCTGATTGGCTCTCCTTTACTCGAGAATCTCTCTTTGATCTCCTTGCCGTGCCCTTTGAACTGCATCATACAGGACACACTGCATAGTGTGAATCCGGACGTGAATCCCGATGCAGATTCCTCTGGCTTGCCGCCACTGCCACTTGGAAGGATCGAGCATATTGACCTGCTGCGAACAGATGTGCAGATGAGCACTGTGAAGAGCTTGATGCAGCTGAGCAAGAGGCTCAAGTACGTGGATGTAAGTTACTGCTGGCGGATCAGTCAGCGCGAGTGGCTAGACTGCAAGAAGTTCAGGCAGGTCGAAGTTGTCTGGGTGTAATAAAAAGAGGGGAGGATTCTAACACTAAGGCGCGTCTTGAAGGTGGGCGGGCAGTATTTTTTTTTATTATTTGAATAAATTGAAATACACATTTACATGTTAAATTGTATATTTATCATAGTCTCTTTGGAAAATGTATGTTTGTTTTTTGTAACAGACTGATCTTTTTAATTCACTATTATGGAAAGCTGTATTTTAAAAACCAATTTATATTAACTTTATAGTCTGAATGCAATTGTGACGTGCCTGAAAAACAAACATTGTTTTTGAGAAAAGTGTTTGAGAAATCATGTGGAAATCACCATATGTTTGTCTTTTTATGAAACTATGACAATAAATTCACATTGAAGTGAATGCAACAATAATTCCTTTTTTGTGTTTCATGTATATTTTTAGTTGTATTTTAGTTTTTATCAATAAAAACAACATTCCAGGCGTCAATGGTTGCAGTACATTGCAGTAACAAACAACTGTGACACTATGACTTATTTAGAGGCAGAAACCCAGAAGGTCAAATGGGCATAAATGAAACTCTAATGAGGTACAGCACTCCATATTTCTGTTACACTAATCCAATTACAGGTTTAATGAAAACTGGAGATGTGGAGCAAGTAAAATACTTGACCCCCACCCAATTTGCCTGTCTTAATATCACCTTTGGGGAATTAAAATCAAGCCTAATCTTTGGCTCATTAGAGTTTGATCTAATCCAAATCCAAGTTAAAATCTGCTTTTTACTTGACAAGTAATGTGTTGGCACATCTCCCAGTCAATCCCTGACACTGATCTAAGTCATTTAACAATTGGAATTTGGTAACATGGTGTTAGAGTTTTATATTATGTATATGTATGAAAACTCGATAGCTTCAGCAGTACAATAAAATAACACTTTACATTTCCAAGTCAAAATGCGCTTAACTCTGCGCTACTACAGCATCTGTTTTTCTTGACTAAATTATTTTCACCCAGAAGGACTTCCAGTATGGCAGTGGCTTGTTTCTAAACATATATAGGATTCAATACATATATCCTGATAACATTTTTTTAAGCAAGACAATTTATTGAGGTGAAACGCTAACACAAGCATGTTTACTCTCTGTTTTGATATGACTTGTTAGTAAATAGACATCTAGTATGTTTGAATACAATTTTTGTTAATTATGTGCTTCCAAAGCATACAGAAAAATAGATTCACAGCTTTGTAAACTTTGTGCTAACTTTAGATGTCGTGAAATGTAATGACTAGTGTTCCAACTGATTTCTATGCAGTTTCCTTACATTGACATCTGTCTGAATGAAGCATGCAAAGCAGATCACGTGGCAAAAACTGACAAGGGCTGAATATCTCTACATCCACCCCTCCATCCATCCACTGTCACCCGCGTATCTGAGATCAGGCTGCAAATACTCTTCCCAGTGCTCTTCTCTGAGGGATCCAAAGCCACTTCTAGGCAAGAAGGGATAGAATTCCTCCATCGTGTTCTGGTATTCCACCACCAGGATGAAATTAAGGCACATTTGTTCTCCTGGATGGGAAGTTCACAATTGTTTGTAGCATCTTTTCTGACATCCAATAGTAAATATGCATGTATGTTCTTAATAAACGTTTTACATTTAGTCACAATGTGCTTCTCTATATCACTGCCTTTTTATACTTTATTTTTAATAGTGTTTTGGCTTTCCAACTTTGTATGTTAGATGATCCCGCCAGCCCATTTTGAAACAAAATGTAATGTTAGATATGCCAATCTGTGTCTTTTACACAAAATAATAATAATAACAAAAACTTAAAAAAATGCAATGCAACACAACCAACATGATAATCAAAAGAGTTTGTACTTTTTAACTTTATCTGTCATCATTTTAATAAATACGTTTAATTATGAAATATATTGAAAAAAACTTAGGCTTACGTGTCCAAAGACACACAACTGAACAATAATAGGAATTTTCTCAAATGATTTAAGTTTTGAAAATGTGATTATAAAATTCGGAACAGTTTGTACCTGCAAGGTTTCCGTATTTCTTGTTCGACACAAGCCCAGTTCACAGCTGGGAATGTGTGCTTGTTTTTTTTTTCCTCAAATTGAGCGGACCTTGATTTGCAAAACACGTCTCAATTAGTGACTGGGAAAGAAAAGAAAACATACTGATTGTAGAGTTATGAAATAGAGTATATGCAGTATTTGAGGTAAGCTAAAATCTCCCTATTTGCTGATTTTTTATCGAAACAGCTTATATCTAAACTGAGCGCAACCGAACGACGGTGTACGCGGACATTAAAACCAAGGACACCCTTTACACGTTACACGTCACTTAGAGAAGCGGTGCCGCTCGTTTAATGTAAGTTAGCCAGCGGGGAGCATCTGGATCATGTTTCCTGGAAAATACGGTTGTCTTTGTGAGTGTCTATGGCTCTAATACAATCCATTGACATATAACATCATTGCCATTAACGTTACGGTCAGTTAAATTGTTAATTTTCGGCGTTTCTCCTTGTTCTTTCCCCCTATCATACTGTAACCTACGAGACTGTATATTAAAAACGCCTGCGTTATCTAACATTAACAGCTACTTACTTGAGATTTAAATGTGTTTCCTTTCTTCTCCTTCCCATTACGAGCTTTTATTTTTCCTCCAATAGCTGAAAACTATACAGTTACGCCTACTTATCCCTTTAAATCCAGAAAATGCTGATCAGTTTCATGTGTTTATGGGCCCTTCACCAGGTGGAAGTCCTGTACAGTTGTTGGTCAAGGCTTTAAAGTTTTTCCTTCTGCTCTTATTTGAAGGCCACAATGATGGATGAACCAGAGATTATGGAGCAGTGGAGTCGGACAAATCTGCTTCTCAGAGAAGACTGATGAATAATAAATCCAAAGGACTATCTGCACCATGGGAAGGTAATTGAATGATTGGCCTCTGTTTATCTGGAACTAAAGAGCTGCACACTATTCATATCCCTTGGTTTTTCTCACATTTTGTCATGTTACAATGACATTAAATACATGTGTTACTATGATACCCCAAGTTAAAATCCAGTACAACCACATTTTTTCAGAGGTTTTTTAATCAATATCTATATATATATATGCATATATACAGTCAAAGCTATATTGAAAATGATTAGATCAAAGGTGCTCAAATGTAAATCTTAAAGGGCTTTAAATATTATTTTTTTTAATGAGTCACAGATCCATTTATTATAGTCCAATCTGTGTGAGCAGTTCTTTTGCGAGGATGAATGTTCAGAGATTGGATGTGCAGAGCGTTCCCAAAAGAGACTGAGCTGTAGTTGCAGCAATAGGTGGTTCTACAAAGTATTGATTTCTAGGACCTTAATAGAAATGGACTTTGCTTTTCAGATTTTATTTGTAAAACATATTGAAAACCATGTTCCCATTTTCCCTGTGCATCTCTATTATAAGCTGCTCAAAATCCCAATCAGATGCACAGACGTCTCTGGTTGTCAAGTGGGAAAATGAGCACAATTAAATTTTCAATACAGTCTCTGCAATATCCAGACATGCAGCATTGAGGCTCTTATATTCTTATATTCTGTGAACAGGATCGGCTTTTCGTGCCTTTTCCCAGCGTCATGGCACTTCAGCCTGTCATCCCAGGTTCTTCCTCGGCTTCTGACTCCTTCCTTCCGACAACTTCTCTTCATCGGCCTGGTGCTCTGCCTCATAGGACTGCTCTACCTGCTGCTCGTTGCTGTGAATACACACACCAGCTGGACCGGAGAAGAAAACCCTTTCCACCGGTACTCTAGAACTAGGAGCTGGTACTCTGGTGTGGGTCTCCTAGAGCTGGTATCGAGTTAATCTTAGATATTTGTCACTCATAAAAGGCACCTGGCGAGAGTTACTGACTTGGATGCGACGGATACAAGCAATCCCAACCTGAACTACGGCCTGGTGGTGGACTGTGGCAGCAGTGGCTCCAGGGTGTTTGTGTACTGCTGGCCCCGGCACAACGGTAATCCCCGCGAACTGCTGGACATACGGCAAATGCGAGATCAACACCGCAAGCCAGTAGTCATGAAGATCAAGCCTGGTAAGAAGCTTTTTGATCAACTTAAAGAAGAAAATGCAAGCGTATTTCGCAACTTGCCTTACTAATAATGTATTATAAAAGTACTGTACATAAAATGGTTTTATTGCATAATATAAGTGAATATTATGTTTTTGCATGCCTAAAGTAAAAATGTTCTTCTTCTTCATGTACTTTTCGTAAAGGCATAGCTGAATTGGCTAAAACACCTGAGAAGGCCAGTGACTACATAGATCCACTTCTAAGCTTTGCAGCTCAACACATCCCCAAGCAAAAGCACCAGGAAACTCCTCTGTACATTCTGTGCACAGCGGGAATGAGAATCCTACCAGAGAGGTAAAAAAAATTGGACTGTTGGAAATGTTAGTGTGACAGAAAAAAAAGATTATTTTTTTACATTTTATTTTTTTATTTTTTTTATTTTGTATGCGTTTGTTTTTTTCTCAGTCAACAAGAAGCCATTCTGGAAGATCTACGCACAGATATCCCAGTTCACTTCAACTTCCTCTTCTCTGATTCCCACGTGGAGGTGATTTCTGGAAAACAAGAAGGTGAATTTAGAAACTGTAGAGCAATATTTCATTTCAACATCATTGTAGCTTTAAATGTACTCAAGCATTTACACAATAACTTAGTACTTAATATGCTTTGGGCTTCAGGTGTCTATGCATGGATTGGAATAAACTTTGTCCTTGGGAGGTTTAACCATGTGGACAATGGTGAGAAGTTACTCAAGTGTACCACTTCAGAGTGACCTAATTTGATTAAGTCTTTTAAATGTGTGACATCACTTCTCTCTGCCTGTCAATTTTCCCAGATGGAGAAGCTGTGGTGGAGGTAAATGTTCCCGGCACCGATCATCAGGAAGCGCTGATGAGGAAAAGGACAGCGGGTGTCCTGGACATGGGTGGTGTCTCCACACAGATTGCATACGAAGTGCCCAAAACTGTAAGCTTTGCTTCTCCACAACAGGTCATTATCTCCAACCAATTCTGTTCTCGTTCCGTCTTTGGTGTTTTGTGGCTTATGCTTTCTTTTTCTCCCTTGCTCCCTTTCTAACCTCTGTTACTCCTTGGTTAACACCTCTCTGAACCATTTTGTCCTGTGGAGCTGATCTGCTCTCCATCCGTCACTGTTGAAAGCATATTGTAAGGTTGATGCATGACCCTCCCCATGTGGCTGTAATATTGAGAACATTAACTTATGTTTGGATACTTTGGATTTATAAGTGTTAGATTAAAAACTGTATAGAACTTTATCTTTACAGTGGCTTCATCTTTAAAGTATTCATTGTACTTGGATATTTTTC